AGAAAGACCCCATTAAGATGCTGTCACATGTTTATGTTAACTTTGAAAGTATACTCCCCAAATCTGCCTCTTTTAACCCCCTGATTCTTCATCAGTTCTTTTTCTGGAAGTGGGTAGCATTTTTCATCATAAATACTTCAGAATTGTTTTTGATCATTGAATTGCTAAGAATAGCCAAGTCATTCACAGTTGATCATTGTATAATATTTCTATTACCATGTATGGTGTTCTCCTGATTCTGCTCACTTCACTTTGTGTAAGTTCATGTAAGTCTTTCCAGGTTTTTCTGAAACCATCCAGCTTGTCATTTCTTACAGCATAGTTCCATTACAATTGTATACCACAATCTGTTCAGCCATTACTCAATTGATGGGCATCCCCTCATTTTCCAGTTCTTTGACACTACAAAAAAGAGCTGCTATAAATATTTTTGTACATATATGTCCTTTTCCTTTTTTAATTAAAAAAAAAATCTCTTTGGGATATAGACCTAGCAGTGGTATTGCTGGGTCCAGGGGTATGCAGAGTTTTATAGCCCTTTGGGCATAGTTCCAAATTGCTCTCCAGATGATTGGATCAGTTTACAACTCCACAAAGAGTGCATTAGTGTCTCAAGTTTTCCATATCCTCTCTAACATTTGTCATTTTCTGTCATAATTAGCCAATCTAATAGATGTAAGATGTTACCTTAGAGTTGTTTTAATTTATATTTCTTCAGTCAATAGTGATTGAGAGCATTTTTTCATATGACTATAGATAATTTTGACTTCTTCTGAAAACTGCTTGTTTATATTCTTTGACCATTTATCAATTGGGGAATCACTTATGTTCTTATAAATTTAACTCAGTTCTCCATATATTTGAGGAATGAGGTCTTTTATCAGAGCAACTTAATGCAAAATGTCCCCCACCCCCAGTTTCATGCTTTCCTTCTAATCTTGGCTGCACTGGTTTTGTTTGTGCAAAAAAAAAATTAATTGAATGGATTGAAATTTATTCATTTTATACCCTGTAATACTCTCTTGTCTGTTGTTTGGTCATAAATTCTTCTCTTATCCATAAATCTGACAGGTAAAATATTCTTTGCTCCCCTAATTTGCTTATGATATCACCCTTTATGTCTAAATCATGTACCCATTTTGATCTTATCTTGGTATACTATGTGAGATGTTGATCTATGCCTACTACTTGCCAAATTGCTTTCAGTTTTCCCAGCAGTTTTTTGTCGAATAGTAAGTTCTTGTCCCAGAAGCTTGAATCTTTGGGTTTGTCAAACACTGGATTAATGTGGTCATATACTCCTGTGTAATATGTACCTAATCTATTAAACTGATCCACTGCTATTTCTTTTTTTTTTATTGATTTATTTTGATTTGTCAACAATCACTTCCATAAGCTTTTGAGTTTTAAGTTTTTCTTCCCCTCCCTTCCCACCTTCCTCCCCAAGACGGCATGCAGTCTGATATAGGCTATACATATACATTCCTATTAAACATATTTTCACATTAGTTGTGTTGTAAGGAAGAATTAGAACCAATAGGAGGAACCACAAGAAAGGGAAAACAAAACAGAAGAAAAAAAAATAGCAAATAGTATGCTTTGATCTGCATTCAAACTCTATACTTCTTTCTTTGGATGTGGATAGCATTTTCCATCATGAGACCTTTGGAGATGCCTTACATCCTTGTATTTCTGAAAAGGGCTAAGTCTATCTACGTTAGTCATCAAACAACGAGGCTGTTACTGTGTACAATGTTCTCCTGTTTGGCTCACTTCACTTAGCATCAGTCCATGCAAGTCTTTCCAGGTTTTTCTGAAGTCTACCTGCTCATCATTTCTTATAGCACAATAGCATTCCGTTACATTCATATACTGCAGCTTGTTCAGCCATTCCCCAATTGATGGGCATCCTTTCCATTTCTAATTCTTTGCCACCACAAAAAGAGGTACTATAAATATTTTTGTACATGTGGGTCCTTTTCCCATTTGTATGATCTCTTTGGGATATAGCCCTGGAAGTGCTATTGCTGGGTCAAAGGGTATGCACATTTTTATAGCCTTTGGGCATAGTTCCAAATTGCTCTCCAAAATGTTTGGATCATTTCACAACTCTACCAACAACGCATTAGTGTTCGAATTTTCCCACATCTTCTCCAGCATTTATCATTTTCTTGTTTTGTCACGTTGGCCAATCTGATAGGTGTGATGTGGTACCTCAGAGTTATTTGGATTTGCATTTCTCTAGTCAATAGTGATTTTTTTTTTGGCAGTTGGGGTTAAGTGACTTGCCCAGGGTCACACAGCTAGTAAGTATCAGGTGTTTGGTCTGAGGCCGGATTTGAACTCAGGTCCTCCTGACTTCAGGGCCGGTACTCTATCCACTGTGCCACCTAGCTGCCCCTAAGTCAATAGTGATTTAGAGCATTTTTTCATATAACTATAGATGGCTTTAATTTCTTCATCTGAGAATTGCCTGTTCGTATCCTTTGATCATTTATCAATTGGGGAATGACTTGTATTCTTATAAATTTGACTTAATTCTCTATATATATTGGTTGTAAAAATTCTTTCCCAATTTTCTACCTTCCTTCTAATCTTAGTTGCATTGGCTTTATTTGTCCAGAAACTTTTCAATTTAATATAATCAAAGTTATCTATTTTGCTTTTCCTAATGAGGTCACTGAAATCTTGATCAAAGAGATATCAATTTCCATATCACCTGTCTTGACTATAGGGAGAATCAACATTTTCCCAGACCTGTCCAAGGAAACACAATGAGCAGGAATACAGCCCTTAGCCCAAACTTAGAATTTCTTTTACTGTCTAATTAGATCTTGGCCTGAGTCAGTCTTTAAGGGAGTGTTCCTACATTGGTTGGTTTCTGGATGAGCAAGTAGAAAAGGAGGGAAACCTTGGTCCTAATACAACAATTAGTTATGCAATACAAGAGAGAAATATTAATTTCTCACATATCCAAAATTGAAATGAACTACATTAGTCAGTAACCTCCCCATTGCTGAATATGTCCACTTAGAAAACAAAAGATTATACATTTATTGAATGAATGATTAAAGAATTACTACCTTTGTGACTGATCCTTCTTTTCTGATAGAGAAGGAAATGTTCTTCATGACAAAAGAATTAAACATTACTATCAGATTATAAAAAGTTGACTCTTTGGCCGCCAATAGACATCACATATCCAGGATTACTCTTGCTTTGTTGTTGATTTTGTTCAAGTAATGTATTTCCCCATGAATTAATATAATTTTCCACTCTTTTCATAGTTAAATTCGTGTTGAGCCTTTCATTAGAGGACTTTGTTGTTAAGTAAAGGAGAATCCCTGTATTCATTTGAATTTGGCTATGTAATCTTTTATTGTTAACTAGCTTTTTTTCTTTGGCATGTGGCGTAGTGGATAGAGGGCCAGCTTTGGAGCCAGCAATACTTGAGTTCAGATCCTGTTTTAACAGACTAGCTTTATGATCATGAACAAGTCGCTTGCCTGCTATGTTTTAGACAGTCCTCTAAGACTCTAAGTTGCAGAATTGATAGATGGACTTTTCTTATCTGGTAGTTTTCTCTGTCATTGAAATCACAGTGTCTTTCTTAATAGTAAAGGAATATAATTTTGAGTGTGTTTTGGGGAAAATTTTTTATATGAAATCATTAAACTTTATCCAAATTTTGAAACATGGAATATGATATATTATAGTTCATTTATCCTTTGATAAATATTGTAGCTTTGATAAATATTGTAGCATTGTAACTCATTTCATGTGGAAAAATGCCTATGTTGTAAAGTTGGTTTGATTTTTGGATTTCATATGGTAAAACAGAATCCTTAACTAACAGTAACATTTTAATAGAATCTGATGGTAAGCCCTTTTGGTAATTTTTAATGTTTTCCCCCTAACTCTTCTTTCCTCTTCATGGGCATTACTATGCTCCTAGTCATCTAGGCTCACAACTACTGTTGTTATCTTCGACTTTTTACTCTTACCCCGTATATCCAGTATGTTGCCGAGTCTTGTCATTTCTGTTTTGACATCTCTTACATATGTCTTCTTTCCATTCATATGGCCACAATCTTAGCTCAGGCTTTCATCACCTTTTGCCTGGACTACTGCAGTAACTTTCTGCTTTTCTTCTTGTATCAGATGTCTTCCCACTTTATTCTGTTTTCCACACAGCTCCAAGATGATTTTTCTATAACCAGGTCTGACAGATCAGCTTCTTGCTGAGTGCGCTCCAGTGGCTTCCTCTTAAGTTCAGAATTAAATGTATTTTCCTCTGTTTGGCAATTAAAGTTCTTCACCTGACCTTTGTAGCCTTCTTAGACCCTAATCTCTTGCATGCATCCTATGATCTAGCTCCACTGGCCCCCTTGCAGTTCCTACAATAAGACATTCCTTTATCTCCATGATTTTGCATTGTTTGTTCCCCATGTCTAGAATGCACCCTGCACCCTCACCTCTGTTTCTTAATTTCCCTGGCTTCCTTGAAGACTCAGCTCCACTCTGACCTTCTTCAGGAAGCTTTTACTGCTTCCTCCAACTGCTAATGCATTCCCATTTCAGATGATCTTCATCTACTTTGTGTATGTATGTATGCATATGTATATACATATACACATACATACATACATACATGCATACCTATATAGTATGTACCTAGTTATACATGCTGTCTCCGTTGCTAGAAAGTGTATTTCTTGAGGGCAAGGACTTTTTTTTTGCCCTACTGACTGAATGATTTAATTGATAGAGTCAAGAAAGTTCATAATTATACAACAGTATTTTTGTGTGGCCTAAATGACATTATGTGTATAAAGTGCTTAATAAAATGTAAAGTGGTAAATGAATATAAGTTAATATTGCTTTCGTGAAAATATTATTAAGAACACCAAACAACTAACTGTACTGTTTGCAGCCATGTTTGTCAGAACCTGTACACCATCCTTTAGAGAAAGTACTAATTTTGTTTTTCCCCATTTCAGAATTTTGGCCCCACACAGTTGTTATCAAGATATTGAAACTCTTTATAACTTCCTAGTGACTAATGAGGTATGAGAGATTCTTTATATTTTTATCTCTTTTTCAAAACAAATGGCTTTAATGTGATATAAAAGCAAAAAAATATTGTTTAGGTTATGGATATAAGTTCTAGAAAGAAGAAAACTGATGGATTTGAAAGTGTTTTCCTAGGAATTAAAAGACTTTTTAATTAAAAGACTTGTTTTGGGAGTTTTGCAAACTGTATGACCTTGGGTAGACTGCTTATCTATGCCTCAGTTTCCTTATCTGTAAAATGAGAAGATTGGATTAGATTATTTCTGAGATACTTTCCAGCTCTGAAATGGTTTTTAAAATGCAATAAAAGCAAATAAATTCATTCTAATATTAATTTAAAACTTATTACTTTGAGTGTAGGATGCTTGAGTACCTTTTATTTAATCATCAGTCACATAATTCCCACCTTCACTGCTTTCTTATTAGGATATACATTGGAGCCTTCCATATAATACAATTAATTTTCTTTAATAGAATTTTTTGGTTATATGTTGATTTATTTTAAAGGTTTGAGTTACTAGAAATTCCAGAAGGACAATAATAATATTTTATGGTCTCACCTTTAAGAGCAGCATAGATCCTGAGAGTAACATTACAATGAAAATCCAGAATGTTCTTTGAGTTTCACCCCCAGGGTGTTTCTTAAGTCTATTTATGTGCTTTCTTTTTCATTTTTTGTTCTAGGTATGCTTTATATTGTTTTTTATTTCTCTTTGCTTATAGGTAGCTTAGGTTGCCTTTGTATTCTAACATTCCAAATTCACAATCATGATTCATTTTTTGAAAAGAATTCTGCACAAGAGTGGGAATAAAATGTTACATGTTTGCGTAATTTATAGTAAGTTTTAATTCCTTCATTGTTTGAGAGCATTTAGGTAGAGTTAGAGCTAGGATTCAAACCAAGGTCTCTAAATTTAAAATATGTTTTTCCATTGTGTTACAGTGTTGCAATAAATACTTGGCATGATTCTCAACTCCTCACTCTCACTCACTTGACAAATCTTGTAATTTCTCCCTTTATGTTATCACTCATGTACATTCCTTTCTCTCCACTTACATTGCTGCTACTATCCTAATTTGAGTGCTTAACACCTCTATCCTTAACTATCGTAATAACCGTCTAATTGATCTCCCTGTCTCAAATCCTTCCCAGTTTCATTCTGTCCTTACTTACCTGCCAACATGAGTTTTCTGAAGTGTAAATCTCCAAACTCAGTGAGCTCTAGAGGCATACTGTTACTTGTAGGATCATATATAAAGTTTTCTATTTGGCATTTAAAGCTCTTCATAATCTGGCCTTTTCCTACATTTATAGTCTTCCTACATTTTACTATCCTGTATGCCAGCTACTCTGGCCTTCTTGTTATTCTTTGAACACACACTCTGTCTCCTGTTTCTATGCTACTGTCCCCTGTGCCTAAAATAATTGGCCTCCTCACCTCCACCTCTTAATATCCTTTCCTTTCTTCAAAACTTAGGTCAAATCTGACCTTCTATAGGAAGCCTTTCCTTGTACTCTTAGCAGTTCCCTCCTTCCCTCTCTCCCTCCCTCCGTCCTTTCCTTCCTTCCTCCTTCTCTTCCTTTCTTCTTCCTCCTACTCCCATTACCTTCTATCTGTTCTGTGTCTAATTTGTATATACTTATTTACATATTTACATGTTATCTCCTCCATTAGAAGGTGAGCTTCTTGAGGACAGGGACTATTTTAGTCTTTGCATTCCTAGTACTTAATTCAGTGCCTGACACATAGAGAAAACTTAAATTCTTGTTGAGCAGCTGACAAATTAAGTCAAAATCATATGTGCTACTCTATAACAATATCTAATACTTGATATTCATAATATTTTCATATTCCACAAGCCAGACATGAAAATAAATCCTGTTACTTAATATCATAGAGTTTCAATGTTGCAATAGACCTTAGAGGTCATCTCATCTAACCCTCCCAAAATTTAATTACAGCACCTCCAAATTTGTAGTCACACTGAATATATTTCCTAACAATTTCATTTTGTAACAGAAATGAAATTTCTAGTGTGTTTGAAAATATGTCAAATGAATATTTTAATCTAGCTATATCCTTTGTGACATCTGAGCCAGTAAATTAGGGCCACTGACTGCAGTTAGAATAAGGGCTCCCTGAGTTCAAGTTTAAAAATAAGGAAACTTGATCACTTTCTCCTATTCACCTTAATTCCTTTATTTATTGGCAAATGTCTCTCCAAATGAATGATCATCTGGTAACCTAGTGTCTTCACTAGAAAGAGTAAAAAAACCCTACATATAAGACCTGTGTGTGCAAAAGAGATTTACAAAAGTATATCCTTTACATCCAGTTAGAGATTGGAGTGTGATGTTGTAGGCCACTAATCTGTTTTGGTTTGAACGGTGTGGCAGTGCTAAAGTTGGCTTCTTTGCTTTCCCCATAAGTACAGGAAAGGTCCCATCTCTGATGTATGTTAGAAATGCTCTCTCATTTTTAGAAGTTCAAGGGTAGTGATTTGTGGGAGTCTGGGTGCTGTCAGCTACCTTTATTTCCAGAGCTATGTTTTGGAATCGTTGAGCTCACTAATTGTTTGTGGAGAATGAGAGTGAGACTGGAATGTTTCCTAATTTGTTCATGATTAGCTAATATGAGGGATGTGGAGGGTTTTCTCTATGATGCTAGATGTGTTATGAGTACTAAATGTTATAGTTTAGTCATTTTTATTGAATATCCAGATATTTTAAATCCTCCCACCTCAGTGTATTGGGCAGTTCTAATTGGATTCTCACTAGTCATTTGATTTAGTGTGCAATTTTAATAATTACGCTTTTGCTCTTTTTGTTAGGTCAATAGCTGTATCAACTTTACTGCCCAGGAACTTTACGAATGTGTGTCACAGGCTGAATATCGGTAAGTCGTCTATGGTATAAATCTGTAATCAGAGTAAGCCTGTTGGGAGTAAAAGTTACTTGGAGCTTACCTTGAGCTGCTTTGATTTTAGACTCTTCTCATCTTATATTTAATAAGTCATTCCTTCTCTATGCTCTAAATCTTGAAGTTAATGGGTCTGTTTTGTGATGAATAATTGACCTTGACAGAAAATGCTGAATAATAAAGCAGATTAAGCAGTTGTCAGATCAGTATTATGTAGTTTTTGTTTTCATTTTATAGTTGGTTCTAGTGTTTCTCCATTCTAATTATTTGTACCTAAATTTTCATATAGGCTTGGAAGCCACTAAGGAAGTCACTGTTTTCCTTGAAATGGTGCTTCTTCTGTACAATATTCTGGCTCTGTTTACTCACCTTTTCTAAACTCACTGAGGCAATTTCTAAGATACCAATTCTTCACTCGAAAAATTGAAAATACTTTATTTAAACGTTTTTCCTTCACTCTTAAGACAAACTGAATAGTGTTTTTACAAAAGAACGTTAAGGCCTTTTGTTCCTTATGTTATTAGTTTGGATCTGTTAAATGCCTAGATTCTGCAGTAATAGAAATGATAATAATCACTTGTGTGTATATAGCAGTTTCTACCTTAATGGCACACTTTGCATGCGGCACCCACATGGATATTGGTTGGCACACAAAATATTAATCTTACGGATGAGGAAAGTGAGCTCTAGAGAGGTTAAGCGACTTGACTAGGAGTTGTACCTCTGGAGCTTAATCTGGGGAGTTCTGGTTACAAGTCCAGCACTCTTTGCAAAGAGAAATCTAAGAACATAATCTATATTATATCAGTTTTAACTTATTAAAGGGTGAGTTTAGGGAGAGGTGTTATGAAAAGAGGAATATTCTTAAGGCCTATTAATTATTGAAAGGCAGTTTCAGGTAGTGAATAGAGTTGACCTTGGAGCCAGGACGATCTGGGTTCAAGTCTTAATTCTTATACATACCTGTTATGTGACCCTGAGCAAGTCATTTAAATCTCTCAGTTCCCTTGGCAATTCTCTTATACTATAAGTGACATATAAGGTGCTGGCCTGCATTGGTAGAGGGAATTTCCTCACCTGGGAGTTTAGTCCCTATCCCCCATTTTTTATTATTTAAAGTATTATATTCTGCTTTCTTTCCTGGGGAGAAAAAAGGAAGAAAAAAAGAATAAACATAATTGACATTTTCCTTTTTTCTTAGGAAATAAATTTTATTCTATGGCATTTTGGTAATATGGTTCTCTGATTTGTCTTCCTCAATTTTGCTTTTTTTTTTTATAATATGAAAATGTAGCTGGAACTGTATGAGTAGATGCAATGATAAAGTTAAATGAAAGGTGCTTCAATAAAATGTAGGCTAATAAAACAAATGAATCTGATGATTTTAAGCCACCACAATGACAAAAATGCATTAGTCTTTTTTACATAATACAGTTTATTCATTAGAGACCTGACCACATTACCAACTTTCAATCCTAGGTAGTATGAAAGTAATTTTCTGTTATTATAGCTCAGTGGAAAAGATATTCTTTTATGACCCTGTAACACATCAGTCTTTCTATGTAGATATTGTGTATTTGGTGGTTTGTGGATTTAGGGCTCATTTGGAAAAGCATAATGTGTCTTCTAGTTATTCTGTCATTTCTGAAGCTGATAAAGATATGGTAGGTGGTTCCGTTATTATTATCTTAAGTAAAATTACAAGCGATTTAGGTTAAAAGGGAAATTCCTTAAAGGAAAGACAGCTTTCTCCAACATGTTTAAAATATTTGGATTTTAGTTTTCCTTTTTGACTAGTGTCTTTTTGCATTCATGGATTTCTTTTATGTGAGCTGTATTTTTAGGATAGCAGTCACCCATCTTTTTTTTTTTTTAATTGCTAGGCTATGTGAGCTAACAAGCTGACTGCTGGACTAGAGGCTATTGGGACTGGGATGGTAGGGGTGGGGAGGAGGTGTGTAAAAGAGAGAAAGAGAGAGAGAGAGAGAGAGAGAGAGAGAGAGAGAGAGAGAGAGAGAGAGAGAGAGATGTGTGTGTGTGTGTGTGTGTGTGTGTGTGTGCGCGCACATGCGCATGTGCATACATAGTAGTTGACCTTAAAAAAATTTGAATAGTGCCTAAGTTCTGTGTGAAGCAGCCCTGATGCTATTTAAAAGCAATTGGATTTTATGGCAACATTTCCATTTTGCGTAGTTTTTCATAGACTATAAACTCAGCTTTCTGTGTCAGTTTCAGAAAGACTCCATCTTTCGGTTTCTCTCCTAGGACCTCAAAAGATGAAGTAGAAAGGGAGATTCTCTTTTCCCTTACTTGAGATAGGGCCAAATATGTTTGATAGGTGAGGTTGAACAGACACCCCCCTTTTTTTTTTTTAAGAATTTTAATAGAGTAATATTAGTGCCTGCCAGTTTCTCTGTAATCCAGTGGGGGAAGCAGAAATAGTTCACATTTAGCTGGGCATACGTATTACCTCCTTGGGAATGTTAAAACAAATAATAATTTAAAGTGCTTGAGTTTTTAGTTCTTTTATGATTTCTTGTCTCCAGAATTGACTATAAAGGAGGGAATTGTCAATGTGGAAACCAGACATGTGTAGAAGGGCCTCTGTTTTAATTCTGTAGGGAGATTATGAGTGCTTGGGGTGGGGGGACGAGGGTGGAGAATAAGGGACTGTGTATAGAACCTGATACAGAAGAAAGATAATGTCTCAGGTTGAAAGTATCCTTGATTAAAACTTGCACTTAGTAAGGCAAGGGAGAAAACAGAAAATCTCATTATGTGATTATAATTCAGGTTGACTTTTAAAATCTCTTGCAGTCAAACTCATGTTTTTTCAGTTCTTATTAGAGGGACACTTGCTTACCTACTCCTTTTTCAAGGTCATACGGGAATTTTATTCAGAAGCCTAGAAGGGTACATTAACCATTCTTAGCTATTATAAAAAGGAAGTAGATAGAGTAAATTCTTATTGTCTGTTGTTCCAGTTTTAACTTTAAGGCACAATCATTTTTTCATTATAAATTAAATACTAGTTTATGACATGAAGTTCAAAAAGTACCTGGCAAAGCCAAATAACCTTCCACCTCTGGCACGTACAAACCATGCTGCCATTTTCTCATTAAGAATGCTTTCGGGGGCAGCTAGGTGGCTCAGTGGGTAGAGCACTGGCCCTGGAGTCAGGAGGCCCTGAGTTCAGATCTAGCCTCAAACACATGATAGTCACTAGCTGTGTGACCCTGGCAAGTCACTTAACCCAGCTGCTTCACCCCTCAAAAGAAATGCTTTTTGAAATGTGCTTGTTTTGTGAATATGGGGACTTGTTCAGTAGTTTCCTCAAGATTAGACTAGACTAGAGTTCCTGGTCTGTAACACAGAGCCTCCAAGACACAACCTTAGATTGAAGACCCAAATATACTGTAGACGACTTGGATTTTTTCATTTTTAAATGAGGAAGCATGTTACATGATACATAAATAATAAAGTAAGTTTTGAACATCAAAAGTTCTTCAAGTGAAAGGATTTAGCAGAAATAGCCCTTAAATGTACACAAATATGCATCTCCATCCCTTTAAGAAGAATTTTAAGGAGGCTGTGTCAAATAGTGAAAACTTTGGCTGTTTGTTTTTTAATCAATATAGTTGTTTAGATAAAATTGAACTGGTAAATACAGTCAAACATGCAGCAAGATAGCTTTTTTTTTAAGTGACTCAGTCAAATCAGTCAGTTGTTTTGGTTTTTGTCTCGACAGCCAAATCAAGACTGGGGCTCTTAACTGGATTATTCATGGGAAAACACATTTCTGTCACTTGTTTCAATACAGTGTATTCACTTGTCCTTTTGCCTAATTAATAACTTTCTACAGCTATGCATATAAATGAGGAAAAAACATTTCTGTATTGACTAAATTATATAGAGAATTGTGTCTTTTGACTTTTGCCATGGAACCAGTCTAACATAAATGTTCATAGTTTGACTATGTGCCCTACATTCTCTAATTTTTCTTTGAAAATAGGTTAATGGTGATAGAGGGCATATCCAGTAGTAAAATTGTTCTTGAACTTAATGTTAAATGCTTTTTTTGAAAAAAAAACCACCTTGAAAAGTAGATAAAGGTCTAAATTAGAGGAAACTAAGACAGTGGAACAAAAAGCTTTACTAAGGAATTTCACTATACCTCTGTTTTGCAACTTGGTATTCATTGTGTTTTTGTTTGAGGGTCTGCTAGTGAAATGACAGTTGACTCTTTCATACAGTAGAATAATAATAAAGAAACAGGGACTGTTTCGTTGTTGTGTTTGTATCCCCAACACCTAGTGTAATGTTGGGCACATAGTAAGTACTTAGTAAATGTTTGCTATTGTTTTGCCTGCTTCCTTTTTCCTACTTTTTTTTTTCCCAGACAGACACTTACATTGCTTGTTTATAATCATAGCACAGTGCCTGACACATAGAAAGGGTTTTTTAAATGCTTTATCATGACGTGTAAAGGAAGTGTCTTCAAAATTATCTTTAAAAAACGAAAACAAAGCCATACCTTTAACATACATGCCACAATACTAAAAAAAATGTTTGTTTTGTTGTGTTTACTTTGAATTAGGAAGAAAGTTATGGTGGGACTATGGAATGGGAAGGAGACAAAGAAATAGAAATAAAACAGAAAATAGTAATAAAAATGTAAATGCGGACCTAAATTGGCCTTTTTGGGCCACTTTGGCCTTTTTTGGTAGTTAACCATTAAGTTTTGGTTAAAGCAATAATTGTGTGCATCAGCATATTTAAACAACTCCAAAAATTTGTGGCTTTTCTTCCATTAGTCTTAGTAGTTTGTATAAGATAGCTAATATAGTAAGTAGTATGTTATATTTCCTTACTCTATTATCTGTACTCCCTTGTTTCTAATAAATCAGAGCAGAGTAGGACTGATAGAATGGCAGAGTAATCCAATCTTTGAAGCTAGAGATGTAACAGACACAGTT